CCCTCTTTGCCCCTGGCAGAGTCCAGGTGGTGCAACGTCTAGTTTAGTGGGGCAGGTGCAGTTACTAAGCTTGGACAAGCCTCTCTGTTTCTGTGGAGTTGTTTTTCCAGCCTGGTCTCCTGAGACTTTTCTCCTGCAGGAGCCACACCCTCCTGCTTGTTCAGAACCTGACTCAAGGGGCGGGGCCTAGGTGTCCGGTATACCTATTAGCAACCTGAGCACCGGAAAAAAAAAAAAATCCGCCTTTGCCACTGTTAGCTCAGGAGAGGGACATAAAGCCCCATCTTGCTCTCATCCAAGTAGTGGTGGTGGGAAGGCAGAGAAGGCTATGCCAGGCTGTTCTGTGCCTTCACCTCCTTCCTCCTGGGAGATCATCTAGCACAGCCCTTTCTCATGATGGCCCCGTTTCATTGTGATGGAAGTAGGGTTGCTGGGTAAAACACAGCACGCCCAGTTACATTTGAATTTCAGATAAACATTGAATCAATTTTCAGCATAAGTATGTCCATGTAATATATAGGACACACATATTAAAAATTATTTGTTATAAAATTCAAATTTAACTGTGCATCTGGGCTTTTTTGGTTCATTTTGCTTCACTTGGTTTTGTTTTGCTCAATCTGGCAACCCTAGGGGTGACATTGTCCCCACGCAGTGTGCATGGCAACTGAGAGCCAGAGAAATCACAGAGCTTGCTCAGGGTCCCTCAAGGCCCTGGTCAGGCCTGGATTTGAAGCCAGGTCTCTTGGAATCCTCTGCCATCTGCATAGATAGCAAACAACCTTAGTGACTTCCTCTGGGCGGTTTGAGAAAGCCCTAAAATAAAATAAAAAACAGTTCTGGCTTCCACTTGCCTGGTAATGTAAATATAAATGGGATACTTAGCAGTCACTCACACCCTACTGTGAAATAGACATTTGGTGACTGTTGAGTGGGAACAGTCCCTGGCAGCTGTGACTGGGGAGAACTGATGAAGGAAAGTGTCTTGACCTATTTGGGTTGCTACGACAAAATTACCGGATGGCTTATAAACCACAGAAATTTCTGTCTCACAGTTCTGGAGGCTGGAAGTCCAAGATCAGTTCAGTTCAGTTCAGTTCAGTTGTTCAGTCGTGTCTGACTCTTTGCGACCCCATGAATCTCAGCATGCCAGGCCTCCCTGTCCATCACCAACTCCCAGAGTTTACTCAAACTCATGCTCATCGAGTCGGTGATGCCATCCAGCCATCTCATCCTCTGTCGCTCCCTTCTCCTCCTGCCCCCAATCCCTCCAAGCATCAGGGTCTTTTCCAGTGAGTCAACTCTTCGCATGAGGTGGCCGAAAGTACTGGAGTTTCAGTTTCAGCATCAGTCCTTCCAGTGAACACCCAGGACTGATCTCCTTTAGGATGGACTGGTTGGATCTCCTTGCAGTCCAAGGGACTCTCACGAGTCTTCTCCAACACCACAGTTCAAAAGCATCAATTCTTCGGTGCTCAGCTTTCTTCACAGTCCAACTCTTACATCCATACGTGACCACTGGAAAAACCATAGCCTTGACCAGATGGACCTTTGTTGGCAAAGTAATGTCTCTGCTTTTTAATATGCTCTCTAGGTTGGTCATAACTTTCCTTCCAAGGAGTAAGCGTCTTTTAATTTCATGGCTGCAATAACCATCTGCAGTGATTTTGGAGTCCAAAAAAATTAAGTTGACACTGTTTCCACTGTCTCCCCATCTATTTCCCATGAGGTGATGGGACCAGATGCCATGATCTTAGTTTTCTGAATGTTGAGCTTTAAGCCAACTTTTTCACTCTCCTCTTTCACTTTCATCAAGAGGCTTTTTAGTTCCTCTTCACTCTCTGCCTCAAGGGTGGTGTCATCTGCATATCTGAGGTTATTGATATTTCTCCCAGCAATCTTGAGATCAGGCACTGACAAATTTCCGTGTCTGGTAAGGACCCTCTTGGTGACTCATAGCTGTCTTTTTTGCTGCATCTTCACCTGGTCACTAATCCCATTTATGATGGCTCCACCCTCATGATCTGATCAGTTCTCTTCACATACTGTCATCACCTGGGGATTAGGGTTCACATGTGATTTTTTTTTTTTTTTTGGCTGCACTGAGTCTTTGATGCAGCATGCAAGATCTTCAATCTTTATTGGCTGCCTGCAAACTCTTAGTGGTGGCATACGAACTCTTAGTTTTAGCATGTGAGATCTAGTTCCCCAACCAGGGATAGAACCTGGGCCACCTGCATTGGGAGTGTGGAGTCTTAGCCACTGGACCATCAGGGGAGTCTCTCACATACGAATTTTGAACACAAACATTCAGTCTATGGCAGAAAGCAAGAATGAAAGTTCTAGTCTTGAGTACTTCTGAAGATGGCAAGCCAGGGCTTGGGGCACAGAGTGTGGTTGGGGTTAACATCTTTTATAACCTGACCCTGTTTTACCTCTCCTTTCCTCCTGCTCTTCCTCACCTGTAACTGTTCACTGTTTACCCAGGGACCACTGGCTTCCCGGCACTTCTCATGCTGTTCCCTCTGCTCACTGCCCCCTGCCCCCTCCCCAATCTTCCAAGACCTATTTCAAATGTTCTTGTGCCGCAAGCAGGTACTGCCATTGCTTTGTGTTATAATTACTTGTGTTGCTGCTTCTACTCTGGAGACTTTTTGAGGCTGAGGGTGTTCCCTTCTTTTTAGACAGCAGGCAGTCCTGCAGTATGCTGCTGCTGCTAAGTCGATTCAGTCGTGTCCGACTCTGTGCGACCCCATAGACGGCAGCCCACCAGGCTCCCCCGTCCCTGGGATTCTCCAGGCAAGAACACTGGAGTGGGTTGCCATTTCCTTCTCTAATACCTGAAAGTGAAAAGTGAAAGTGAAGTCGCTCAGTCATGTCTGACTCTTAGCGACCTCATGGACTGCAGCCTACCAGGCTCCTCTGTCCATGGGATCTTCCAGGCAAGAGTACTGGAGTGGGGTGCCATTACCTTCTCTGGTCCTGCAGTATAGACAGCTTGCAAATGTTTGCCTAGAATAAGGGCAGGGGAGAGACCCCCATTGCAAACTTTCTACTTTGTAGGTTTTGTAAGAGACTTGGACATTTCCCAGCCTGCACTTGAGTCTGTTCGTGTCAGAGCAACCAGGAACTCCTCTGCAGACAGCCTGCCTCCCCGGGGTGCAGGTTTGGGTTCCTTTAACCTATTCGGGGTCTGGGAGCACCAGCCTGAGGGTAGGACCTGTCTGTGACATTCACCCAGGGGTCCCCAGTGCCTGCAGGAGCAACTGGCTTGGAATAGGTGCCTGTGAACTCTTGCTGGGTGGATGGATGGATGGATGAAGGGGATTGTTTGATTGTCATGTGTCATCATACAGTGTTCAGGACACTTGAGACCCCTCAGTGAATGTGGGCCTCCCACATTAATGAGGGATTTGGGGTGTATCGTCCAAAGTGCTGTCAGAATTGGACTGTAGGTAGGGCCGTTTTAGGGCTGTTGATGTGACTGTGGGGCTGAAACTGCCCGACAGGGAGGAACCTGTGAAGAAGGAAGGAAACCCTTCTGGTGACCCAGAGGCAGGACAAATCTAGCACCTTCAGAACTGAACGTCTCCCCCAGCTGGGCTGAGGAGGGCCCCTGATGGGGTGAGAGGGTGGCTGATGGGCAGCCAGGGAGGGGGCGTTTAGAGCTCAGGAGTGAGGTCCTGCACGCTGAGTTTCTGGCTGGAGATTGGCTGGGGGCTGAGGAGGAGCTGGGTGGCCAGGGAGGCCTCCACTCGTGTGGGTGGCAGCTGGACCCAGGTGGCCTCAGGGGAGGTAGTTGAGCTGGACCAGGAACAGGGGCTGGAGTTGGTGCCACCTTTCCCCAGGCTTCTGGGGGCGGAGGGGCCCTGAGTCCCTGAGGTCTCAGCTCTGCTCCCCCGTGGCCTGCCCCCACAGGCTTGGCTCTACCTTTGGGTCCAGGATCCCCAAGGAGTGCAGGTTGTGGGATCTTAGAGAACACCACGCACCTGGGAGGACCCTGGGCTCCTCCCAGGGTCAGGAGCTTGGGAAAACAGCCCCATTTCACAGGCACTGAGCACTTGCTGTATACACGGAGCCCATCCCCTGGACCAGGCCCCGTGAGAGGAGGGAGCCTCACCACCCAATGAGGGTTAGACCCATTTTACAGAAGGGGCATCAGAGGGGGAGGGACTTGCTTGTGACCTCACTCGTGGTGAGTGAGGGAGCCAGACCAGAGACCCTGGGGCCTCAAGAGCTGTGCTGCAGCTGGGCCCTCTGACCCTCACAGGCGAGGACTGTGCCCGCCCCCCCTAAGGCTGGAAAGAGCTTGGCCTGTGGCAGAGAGAGGTATCAACCTGCAGGAGGGTATGAGCTTAGTGATGCTTCTGAGGCCAGCCGCTCTGCTTCCATGAGCTTCTCAGAACTTCTTTAATCAGTCTGTAAGTGAGGTGAGCATCTTGCCTGGGTCTGCACCGTCCTGAGTTACTGTTGTGCCGACTGTGCCTGGGGTCAACCAGGCCTGGGTTCAGACCCCACCTCCGTTACCTACTCACTTTATGAACTCACAGAGTTTCTTAGTCTCTCTGCACCTCGACTTCCTAACCTGTGAAATGGGGCAAGACCTCCTGCCTCCAGAGGTTTTGGTAAATGAGGTGAAGTACGTAAAGTGTAACTGGGTGTGACTATAACGCTCCTGCCCTCTGCAGGGAGGGAGACCCCAGCCATTGGAGTGGATGCTCTGGGTGCGGCCACAGTGGAGCCCTAGACGGTGTGGCGGGATGCAGGGGTGGGGATCCCACTCAGCATGCTCTGCAGCCTGTGGGTGGGGCCCAGGACTGGGGCAGAGGCTCTTTGCAATAAGGTGGTTTTAGGGTTTTCTTCCTGCACACGGTAGGAAAGGTGCTGAGCACAGAGCAAACAGGAAAAGCCAAAGCACCTTCAAACTGTCCCCAGAAACGTGAGCGAGCACAGTCAGCCTCCCTTGCCCCCTGCTCTAACCGCGTGCCCTTCTCCCCTAGCGCTCCTGCGGGAGGAAGTGTCCCGGCTCCAGGAGGAAGTCCATCTTCTCCGGCAGATGAAGGAGATGTTGATGAAGGACCTGGAGGAGTCGCAGGGTGGCAAGTCCTCTGAGGTCCTCTCGGCCACGGAGCTCAGGGTCCAGCTGGCCCAGAAGGAGCAAGAGCTAGCCAGAGCCAAAGAAGCCTTGCAGGGTGAGTGACAAGTCGGGGACAGTTCCCGCCTCTCCCTCGCCTGAGGCCCAGCCGGGGCCACGGGGGACACCACGAGCCAAGGTCCTGCATCTGCAGGGGGAGTGACGTGGACCCGGGAGTCTCCCAGCACGGGCTGCCCCTTCCTTCTTGGGTGGAATCCTGTGTCGTGCTGGGTCGGGTACAGGTGTCATTCCATCCTGAGATGTGACCACCTCAGGTTCTCCATCACGGCCGATCATGGGGCACCTCCCTCCAAGGCATGATTGGCAGGTAGTCAGTTATCTTTGCTGACCCAGGGCGCTGCCCCAGCAGTTGGGTCTCCTGTTTCCCAGAACTCTCCAGGTCCTGCGGTGCCTCCCCTGCAGGACAGTGTGGATGTGTGGGGGTCTGTGCTGGAGGACACGTCTGTCCACCGCTTCACTCATGCTTGCCATGGTGGGCTCCCCAGGGGAGGGCTTGGCCTCTTCTTGCTTTTACTTGGTCTGAAGGAGCTCCCCTCTAAGAAATGCAGCACGCAGCCCTGGGTCGGGGGAGGAGCTGGGAGAGAAACCACTTGAGGAGACCGGAGGTCAGTGGGCCCACGTGTCAGCTGCTTTCCTTAGAGCTGGCCTGGATACCGGCGTCTGGCATAGCCCTCTCTCCTGGGAGCCTCCTGTCCACAGTGTGTCTCAAAAGGTTATTTGAGAAAGATTGGAAGCCTTCTCCGAATAGTCCTGCCACAGGAAACATTGGGGGAGAAAATATTTGGGGAGGTCTACCTTGATCTCTTGAGCCTCTCTTAGTATCTTTGATTCTCCTGGGGAGGGAAGAGGCAATAAAGCTTGGCAACCTCCTTCCCACTTACCACTGACTAGAACCGATAAATACTCTGAAGGCTTTGTTTCTGAAGCCAAAGCAGGTTTATTCCTTATGTTGATTTCAGCCTGCTGTAGCAAAGACCCCAAAACAGGGTGGCTTAAAGAATCTGTTTGTCCCTTTCTTCTGTAACCGTCTCAAGGGCATTTCAGGCTGGTGGGCATCTCTGCTCCCCTTGGCCTGTGATGGGTCCAGGGAAAGAGCTGAAGTTCAAGGTCAGAGAGTGTCTTTGGCAGGAGTGTGATCATATGGCTGGGCCTGGCTGCAGGGAGTGCTCTGGGTCTGTGTCCCAGCTGCAAGGCTCCCGAGGGTTGGGAGTGGGGGGTGGAGAAGGAGAAGGGATTTTGCTAGATGGTTAGTTGACTCTATCCTCCTGGGTTTCTCTGACCGGAGGGGTGAAGTGAGCAGCAGAACACTGGTTAAGCCAACTGTCTGTCCATCACCCCACCACCCAGGAAGCTCAGGAAACCATTGAGCCCTCATCCAGGTGTTCCAGCCCCTTTCTGTATCCTTCTCAGCAGTACACATTATTTTTCTGGTGGGCCCACTTGGACAGTGTTCAGGGTGGTCTGTTCAGGCCATGGCGGGCAGGTGGTCTGTGTCATGGTCCAGCTGATGCTGCATGATCAGAAGTCCCTGTGCCAGGCATGCACTTTCTCTACACAAGCCTCTTGCAGTCCAGGCAGATCTGTATGAGCCCCCTCCACTCCCAGCTTCCCAGAGGCCCTGGAACAGCCCTACCTTTCTCAGGAAGGAGAACCCAAGTCTCAGGAGTCTCCCATACTGGACAAGTGTTCCTGGCTTGGGACATGTGAGCTGGTGTCCTTTGGTCTCGCCAGGCTTTGCGATCCTGCAGAGAGTTGGGAAAGCAGCCAGACACTGTCTCAGCCCCCTCAGCTGGTGTTCATTGCAGGACAGAGACACCTGCCTTCTGTGTCCTGGGCCAAGGAAAGAGCTCTCACCCTTATTCTGCCTTCTGGACCAGTGAGGAGGAGGCCTCCCTCTGTCTGCTGTTCCAGGGCCCAGGGGAATGGGCAGGGAGGCTCATTTACCCTCCACTCCCCAGGTCCTAGGACAGACAGCCTACACTCTCCAGAGCTCAGCTTTCTGATCTGACTGATGGGACAGTAACAGTGAATTACATGTGGTTGTGTCTGTGAAGGCTGTTACCATGATGTGCATCCTTCTCTGTGTAGCCCACAGAGCACAGAGCTTTGCAGGAATTTCTTTCCGACTCTGTGCTGTGTGATTTCTTATCCATCCCCAAAGGTCTTCAGGGCCTTGCTCAGGGACCCAGAGATCCCCTTGATGGGGCAGCTCCTTTGTAGGAACAATAATTTCATCAAGAAGGATTTGTCAGTATTCATTCAAGGAAAGCTTTATTGAGCACCTACTGTGTGTTCCAGCAGGCTTCCCTGGTGGCTCAGATGGTTAAGAGTCTGCCTGCAGTGTGGGAGACCCAGGTTTGAACCCTGGGTCGGAAAGATCCCCTGAAGGAAGGAATGGCCACCCACTCCAGTATTCTTGCCTTGGAAAATCCCATGGATGGAGGAGTCTGGTAGGCTACAGCTCATGGGGTCACAAAGAGTCGGACACGACTGAGCGACTTCACTTTCTATTTTTTCTACTGTGTTCCAGCACTGTTCTATGCACTTGGTCTACCATTCACCCCAGTCCTCTGGGAGGTACTAACCATTTCACAGATGGAGACAGCTGAATGATTTTCAGGGAGATTAAGTAACTTGGCCAAGGTAACAAGCTAGTTATCAGCAGGGTCCAAAACTTTATCCACTGTGCTAAACCCCTTTTCTTCCCTCTGGATGAGGTCACTGGGGATGAAGTCAGCCTGGACAGGAGAGACCGGAGGCCACCCTACCTCAGTAATAGGGACAGCAGATTCTGGAGTCAGATCTGGGCTTGAATCCCAGCTCTGTCACTTACTAGCTGTGTGACCTAGGGCAGATTCCTTAACCTCTCTGGACCATAATTCTCTTGCAGAAGGTAACAATACCTGTTTTTTTTATAATTGAGACCAGTTATAACTGGTAGCTACTTCACAGAATTCTCGGGAGGATTAGAGATATGAAGCACTTGGCTCAGTGCCAAGTACCATTAGTGCAAATATTTAGTGATGATCAGATGAGAGGGGGCTTAGCAGATCTCCTTGCATCTCTTTGGAGATGCTGGTCACCTGATTCTCATTCGGGGTGGCCCAGACCCTAGACCCCCTGAGCCCATCTGCGTTCAAGGTAGCAAGCAGTGAGGTGAACACCTTCAACAGCCGTAAGCATCCTGCCTGGCATTCTACAAAGTCACAAAGATGCTTCCTCCCTGGCCACAGCACGTGGTGAGTAAATTGCAGACAGATGTGGGCAGGAGACTGGGGCATGAAAAGGGATTTATATGCCCTTAATGAGAAAGATGAGAATAAATGCACCAGCCAAGAAAGCTGCAGATGTTGGATGACACTTGTTAACAACCAGTGTCCCTATGATGGGAAAATGCAGAACCCCCAGAGACTTCCACTCTGGTGGTCCCCACCCGGCCACCCTCAGTCTGGTAGCTTGGGGTTGGTTGAAACTAGAATTTTTTTTTTTTTTAACATTTCTATATTTATTTAGTTGCACTGGGTCTTAGTTGCAGCACAAAGGATCTTCAGTCTTCGTTGAGACATGCTGGATCTTTAGTTTCAAGATCAGGGATTGAACCCAGGCTTCTTGCTGCACTGGGAGCTCAGTCTTAGCCACTGGACCACCAGGGAAGTCCCAAAACTGGCATTTTTCAATACGTGAGAAGATTAGGAACCCAAGCAAACACCCGAGACATCAGGCCATGATTCTAACATCAAAGAATCCAACAAAAAGAATCAAGTCTGGGGGAATTGGGGTTTATAAGGTTCTGCCAGGATGAGTCTGGGAATGTTTGGTTTAGGACTTTGGTCTCACCCTGAGTTCAAAGGCAGAAGCTCTGAATGATCGTTTAATAAGGAATGGTGTCGTTGAGTTTGTAAACTTACCCCCGAGTCCCTGCGTGACCCCAGCCCTACACACGTGGTGAGCTTGTTGCCTGGGGGACTCCTTTAGGGTGTCTTGATTTCCCCCTCAGTTTCACTGATTTCATTCGAGAGTCAAGGCATTACAGAAACAATAATCATGAAAATTTCCTTCTTCCCTTTTTTAATCACTTAACGGCATGTCGAGTGTGTTGAGCATTTTCCCACAAGGATAAATCCTCCTTGAAAACATAATTTTTAATGACTCCATAATGTTCTGCCAAATGGAAGCCCTGTAATTTATGTAGCCACTTTTCTGTTATTGGACATTTAAGTTGTTTCCACTTTTATTTTCTTTTCATTCTTGCTGTTATGTAGCACTGCACTATACAGATCTGTGTAAATCTGTTTCTTAGGACAGCATTTTTCAAACCTTCTGGTCTCTGGACCACTTTGCACGCATAAAATTGATGACCCTAAAGAGCTTTTGTTTATGTGGTTTAGAGCTATCAGTGTTTGCTATTTTAGAAATTAAAATCAAAACATGTCTATATTATCAGTAATTTATTTTAAAATAACAATACTAAACCTATTACATGTTAACATCATTTTTAAGTGAAAAATGACTGCTTTTTCCTAAATAAAAAGACTTGAGGGTGAAGGGGAGCATTGTTTCACACTTCTCAAAAACTTTTTAATGTCTGACTCCATAGAAGACTGCTGAGTTTTCATAGTTACTCCTCAGTCAAGTTACTGTGATCTGTTGTTTTGATTGAAAATCTAGTATCACACAGATATGTATCTGGAAAAGGGAGGAGTAAATTAATTACCTTATTAGATAACTGTGGATATTTCTCTTGTTGCCATACTGCTGCTGCTAAGTTGCTTCAGTCGTGTCCGACTCTGTGCGACCCCATAGATGTCAGCCCACCAGGCTCCTCCATCCCTGGGATTCTCCAGGCAAGAATACTGGAGTGGGTTGCCATTTCGTTCTCCAATGCATGAAAGTGAAAAGTGAAAGTGAAGTCGCTCAGTTGTGTCCGACTCTTGGCGACCCCATGGACTGCAGCCCACCAGGCTCCTCCATCCGTAGGATTTTCCAGGGAAGAGTACTGGAGTGGGGTGCCATTGCCTTCTCCATGATGCCATACTA